TGATTGAATTTAGACAATCACAGAGGAGCAAATATTGTATTAGTCCACTATTTTAAAAAGTCAAGAAAAGGTTTTTACATGGAAGGAAACTTTCTTTGTTGGTTACCAGGGATGGGAAAGGAGGGGAGGGAAAATTCTCACATAGGTTAGAAAAAATACACACACACACACACACACACACACACACATATACATATAAACCAAAGATTATTGGTGGTTTACCAGGGTTAGGGGATTGGGGGAAAGGGAAAGCTTTTGTTTGTGGAGCATTTGTTTTATGCTAACGGTGGTAGAATGTTTTGGAAAAGGATAGCAATAATGGGGCACAACATGAAAAATGTCATCAGTGTCCCTGAGTTGTAAATGTGGAAATTGTTGAATGTTTTTTTGTGTATATTTTCACCACAATAAAAGTTAAAAAAAATTGTTCTACATTCTATATTGGTGAATAGCGACTGAGTGAGGTCTTAAAAGCTTGCAAGCAGCCATCTAAGATGCAAAACGATTCAAGAAGAGTGAAGAAAATCAAAGATGCATGAAATCAATGAGTCCAGGGACTAGTATTTTTCTGAGAGTTTTTTTTTTTTTTAAATCAGGAATAGGTCTTGGATTTTATGAAATTCCTTTTTTTGCATCTATTGATATGATCATGTGATTCTTTACCTTTATTTTACTCATGTGATGGATGACGTTGATTGTTTTCCTAATGTTGGACCATCCTTGCATAACTGAAATGAACCTAGATCATAGGAACCTCAGCCTCCTCAACCCTGAGATCAGAAGAACCAGATGGCAACCGGTACCACTGCCAATCACTCTAAAGGGGATCGAAATGGAAGATCTTGGATAGAGTCAGAGAAAAATACAGAAAAAAATTCAAAATAATAAAGACAAGGCTTGGTCTGAAAGAGACTGGTGGAACCCCCTAGACTATACCACTTAGCCACCCTTCAATCCTGCAACTGAACTTACTCCTGTGGCTAAACTTTCTGATAAACAGTAGACAGACACATGAGATGAACAATAACACCAGAGGTAAGCACTCCTTAGAACACTCAATCCTAAGAGATCAAATGGACAGCGTTTGCCCAGGGATCAATCTCAGAAGGTAGGAATGGAAAGGAAAGAATGACAGATGGAAATGGTAACCACAGGGAAGAGGTGGGAGAAGGGCTGTTACATCTTTGGGATTGCAATCAATGTCATGAAACAAAATGTGTATAAACTGTTGAATGGAAAACCAATTTGCTTTGTAAACTTTCACACAATCACAATTATTATTATTTTTTTTTAATAAAAGCCATAGCTTTCCAGAAGGATTGGAGAAATAAGACATATACCCAGGCAAAATAAGAATTCAGGTGTAGTTGACTAGAAGTTGTAGATTTTCATGTTAATTGTGTCCAGTGGAAAATGCTGGCATCTAGGCAAGAGTCTTCCTGATCCTCTCTAACTTTTTGCTTTACTGATCATCCCTCTGGGTTCATTTCTCATGGCAGGTACCTGTTTGCAGTCACAGGGAATGGATTAGCCAACCAGGGCAATAACCCAGAGGTCCAGGTTGACACCAGCAAACCAGACATGCTGATCCTTCGTCAAATCATGGCTCTTCGAGTTATGACCAGTAAAATGAAGAATGCATACAATGGGAACGACGTGGACTTCATTGACATCAGTAAGCATTGGAGTTTGAAAGTACAGATTATTCTGGTATGCCTTGTGATGAGCACAACTGGGATGAAATCTCTCTTCCATTTTTTTAAAAACTAGGCGATGAAAGTAGTGGAGAAGGAAGTGGAAGTGGATGTGAGTATCAGCAGTGCCCGTCGGAGTTTGAGTACAATGCAACTGACCATGCGGGGAAGACTGCCAATGAGAAAAAAGCAGCTGACAGCGCTGGTGCCCGTCCAGGGACACAGCCCTACCTCCTCACTGTCCTCTGCATCTTGTTTGTGGTCGTGCAGAGAGAATGGAGATAATTCTCAACCTAGGAGGGAAAATGTTAATCGTCAAAGAGTGAAAAGGCACCGGGTATCACTTTTATACCATCCTAGTGACTTTGCTTTTTAAGTGAATGGACAACGATGTACAGTTTTTACTATGTGGCCACTGGTTTAAAAAAAAAATGCTGACTTTGTTTTTTCATTCAGCTCTGGGCGAGAAAAAGGGACTTGTACATTAAGTTGGTCCCTGCTCATCCGGAACCATGTTAAACGTGGCTAACAGTGTAGGTACAGAACTATAGTTAGTTGTGCATTGGGATTTTATCACTCTATTGTTTTTTTTTTTTTTTCAATTTTGTTTGTGGGTTTTTTTTTTTTTTTTTCCCAATTATGAGCTCACCTTGTTTCTTACAAGAAAACCAGGGTCCTTTCTTGGCATGTAACATGTACGTATTTCTGAAATATTAAATAGCTGTACAGAAGCAGGTTTTATTTATCATGTTATCTTATTAAATGAAAAAGCCCAACAAGCAGTAAAATTTCCATTTATCCCTGTTATTTTAGTTGCCTTATCTGGAGAGAAGGGGGAGGATTTTTATTATTATTATTATTATTATTAAGTTAGGACAGAATGTGAAGGCACAGGTGGCCTGTGAGCCACTTGCCAGATTGGATTCAAGCATCAATACAAGAAGAAGGTTATGCTTTATTTATAGCCGGTAATTGGAAGAGACTGCAGACTACCACTTTGGTTGAGTTGAATTACACATATAGGTCCATTTCTTGAACCCCCTTAAAGTATAACACATTCAGGATGTCCCTGTTAGTCACATGTTCACACGTAGTGTGGTTTTTGTTTTTTTTTTCAACCAGGCAAGTTAGCAAGCCACTGTGTTCATGTCCACACTGACTCTCTTTGCATTGATATTCCAATACCATAGTGGCCACCAATCTCATTTGGTGCCCTTTATTACTGTGGTCCAGATTTCAAACCCAGCCATGTATAGGCTGGAGCTGTCTGGGGGCTAGCCAGAGGTGGAGTACAGTCTGGATTTAGGGAGTTGTTGTCAACACTCATAAGCAAAGTTGTTGTCTGTGCCTGTGTGTTTGTATTTGTTTTTGGATCCTAGTTGTTGTCGTTGTTATTAAGGGATTCTAAAGTGTTGTAATAGAGTCTTGGCATCGTCCTGCCCCCTCTGATCAGAAAGGCAAAGGCCTTGCAGTGGTTTGCAGCTGCATTACCCTCTCAGCCAAGGAGCCTGTGTGGGAGAGAATTAGGTGTCCAGATTTTTGCACATTTTTTTTTGTGGGGAGGGGCGGGATGGGGGTAGGTAGAGGTGAGAAGACTACATCTTAGTGTTGACCCTTAGCCACATGGGTGAACTGGCAAAGGCCATATCTGTTGTCCCAGGGCAAAGACTTAACAACTGCCTTGGCCCCTTAGGAACCCGTCCCTTGTGTCCTTACCAAATGACAGCTCATCAAACTCTGAGAATGTAACGAATCATGCTGAAAGAAATGACCAAAAGTGCTCAGAAAGACTAATATTCTGTCAGTCTCTTCCTGTTTCAGACAGCCAGTATGATCTCAACCAATTCTACCGAAGCTAAAACCCACAGAGAGGTGGTTTTTGTTCATGTTCAATCTTCAGTTGTAAGAGTAATGCTCTATTTTTCTATTGAAACATAATTACTTGATAGCTCAGGGTCTACATTTCATTCAACTTTTTACACCAAATTCTGCAGAATGGTCAAAATGGAATCTTGGGGGCTGTTGTAAACAGAGGCTTAATTTTATTAGAAGTAGCCAGTTATTTATTAAAGCATGTTAATAAAATAGGCATATTCTGGCTGGTGTGTATGAGTGGTCTTTTCTTAAAAAAATCACAGAAAACATAAAATGGCAAAGGCACTCCATTTACTATGTATGAGGAAAAATGGATTGTAAATAGCTGAACTGCCTTGCGAGAACTTGGGAAATGTGCTGATACTTAGTAACTACCTCAGTTGTGAGGCATTTCCTTTTTAGCTTAGGCTGCCATTACTTTTACTTGGTAAAAATGAATCTGGTCTCCAAACTGTAGCTCAAAGAGTTATCCCCATAGACCTTGTTAGATTGTTTTTAATTTAAAATCTTGAACTCTGCCCAGCTGTTTTCTTTCAGTCAGCTTCTCTAAACCAATAACATTTTCCGAATTAAATGTTGTTGAAGGTTCTTTGGGACTTTTACTGATTTGTTTTCTTCCTTTGCATTTTCTTGTTACCCTTTTATTATTTAGATTATCTCTTGCTTTTGAACTTGAACTAGGAAATAAACAAATCATAGGTTTTTCCATTCAGGTCTGACCAGATAACTCTTGGCTTCTAACCAGCTGACAGATCCACCCCCCAACCAAAAAAAAAAAAAAAAAGAAAGAAAGAAAGAATAAAGAGCAGTTGAAGGTTTTAAAACCTTAGGAGTTCAGAGTCTGAAGTAGAAGAAAAGCTGTAGGAGGAGAGCTGACTTTCCCAGAGTCTCCATAGCACATGAAGGGCTTCTGTTTCACAGTCATTTATGAATTCTTTTTCTTTCAAACACTTCAACTACTCTTCATAAAAACATTTTAAGACCCTTAGATTTATATTTCACTTCAAAATAGTAATTAGCACCTATTATTTTGCTAAAAGAAAAACGTCAGTGCAGAGAATTTACTTGCATCTAGAAGCTTTAGTTATGGAGTGTTGGTAACCTAACAGTTTACATGAAATCAAAATGAAATGAAAACTGGCATTTGTGATTACAGAACCAGAATAAAAATAGGTAGATACTGCTGCATAGAATTCTACCTTCCCATCTGTGTTGGCAGAGGGTTGGATCACAGAATACGTCTCTTTGGACAGCTGATAGAGAGCGAGTTAACAGCAATATCTTCTAGAGGAGAAGGGGTGTGTTTGTGTGTGTGTGAGAGAGAGACAGAACTCACTGTCAAGCAAATGCTAAACTACCAAATATAACTTTCCAACTTTTTTGAAATAAAAATACTCTCCGAACATTCTTCCAGTTTACAACTTAATGGAAAAAAAAATATAAGTATACATTCCATGATGATACAAATTGTTTCTACTTTTAAACTCCCAATTCTTCTCTTCTAAAAATCCATTTTATGTGTGTGAAAAATATCTGAAAGATGAGAGAGATGGCCACATACAGACTCAAATCCATCAGTGAAGCAAATGCCACATAATATTTATTTGCTTCATTTTGTTTCTAATTAGGTAATATGCCAAGCAGGTTTTAAAACCAAAACATGGATAACAGCATACAGTGAGTCTGTACCCATTTGCACAGTTACCCCCACACCCCAGGTGAACTCTTAATAGTTACTTATGAATAGCTTCTTCCAAAGTTTCTTTACAAAGATAGAAACTCATGAGAATACAAATTGTTGTTCTTTCCCTTTTCTTTTGTGAAAAACAAAAAATAGCATATTATGCCCCATACTATCCAGGTTTTCTAGGGTGATTTTAAACATTGAGAGCGGGGAGCCATAAAGATACAGATGTTCAGGATTCCTGTTGTAAACATAGCTTCTCAGGGGTACCATGTTCTGGTTTTCACTGCACTTGGGCCCAGATTAGTCCCTTGGTGGCACCAACAGTTAAGCATGTGACTGCTAGCCAAAAAGTTGGTGATTCAAATCCACCTAGAGGTGCCATGGAACACAAGCTCTGGCAGTCTGCTTCTGAAAGACCGGAGCCTTGAAAATACTATGGGGCAGTTCTGCTTGGCACATATGGGGTCGCCTTAAGTGAGAACATACTAGATGGCAAGTAATAACAATGACAAAGTAGTGGAGCAAGAAAACACACGGAACGGGCGAGGGTCAGTTTGACATGGTAATGTGCACGACCAAGGGAGGCGCTGGGTGGTGCAAACGGTTAACGCGTTGGCTGTTAATGAGAAGGGTGGCGGTTTCAGTCCACCCTGAGGCACCAACAGAAGAAAGGCCTGATGAGCTACTAAAAATTCAGCCCTTGAAAACCGTATGGAGCCCAGTGCTACTCTGATTACACATAGGGTGGCCCTGAATGAGCATCAACTAGATGGCTAATGGTTTTGGGGAACAATCTGTATTAAGGTTCATTTTTGGTAGTTTGTGTATATCATTACCAGTGAAGAAGAGATTGGCGAACACAACTGGGGAAAAAAACTCCTACAACCCAGAACATCAGTTACCAATGTTGATGCCTGTAAATGGTTCAAAGGAGCTGGTCTGACCTGGAATTCATTCATTCTATTAGGAGAAAATACTTTTAATGCTTTTTCAAGCCCAAATGCTTTGAACAGTCCACATAGGATGGAGATGAGAGGATTAGGAAAACGTGTAACAAGATCTCTTTGGAGTACTGCAAAGAATTATCTGTCCAATGGTAGAGGATTCATCAGGACATGCCAACATTTTTCCAAGTTCAGTTTTCATGTATCATGGGATTATTCCTGCAGATTTGTGTTTGAAGAGACTTCTGATTTTGGCATTAATCAGTACAGTCTACAGACATCCTTAGTGTGAGCGTCCACGTGTGAAATTAAATGCACGTTTTACTCTACTCTTGACATTTCTTAAAGAACTACTAGGCGTTCTGAGTAAAAAAAAAAGCACAGGATTGTTGTAAGGAGACCATGCATCAGTCCTACCAGGTAAAAACTGATGAGAGATGGCAGGTGAGGTTAAAGATTAAAGATAAAGCTGTGTGCCTGATGACCCAGCGTGCTTTTCTAAAGGCTGTTACAGTTTTGTCTCTGGTCTCTGCAGAAGCCTTTTGCAACAATTTCCTTGTCATTCTGTGTTATTGTGTTTAAGTGACAAGATTAGAAGGCCTGTGTCTCTTCTTCACCTCCTCCTCTTTCTCATTCTCTCGCTCGCTCGCTTTCACGCTCTTGCTTTCTATACACACACAGTGATGTATTTATCATTTTATTGAAACACTTAATCCCAGGTAGACCCTGCCTCTGTCATTTCCCAGCCGCCTTCCCCCTGCTGTCAGTGGTTTATGCTT